TTTCGGCACTGTTGCTGTTACTCCGTGATCATGGCGCTTGCAACAGTGCCGAAATATCGGAGACTCGTAAAAAACAAGGTGCATGGTAACAATCCCGTTAATAGCTATGTTAGTGACCATGAATGTTTAAAACAAAATAAAATGGTATAATTACATAAAGATAAATTTTACAGGAGCTGTATAAAACTGAATGAATGAATACCTCCAGTGAGCTTTTGGCATGGTTTTTGATTTGTGAATTTAGTAATTTTAACACTGTTTTAGGTGGTTTTGATTGAAAATTATATCGTGGAAAATTACGGACAGAGAGCGTAAGCTTATAGTCCGGTCAAATTAGACAGAAAAATAAGAGTAAATGTTCATAAATTCCCAGCAAGCTGAAAGTGGGAACAATTGTTCAAAACATAATTAAAAATAAGATATCACAAAAAAAGTCCCCATATGTTTGTATTTTGTTTTTAAGTGGTTTGGAACATATGTACTCACTTTCAGCTTGATGTGAATTTATGCACCTTTGAATGTCTAAATTTATCATCACTTTAGGTACGGAAATATGTAACTGAAAAGTCGCCCTTTAAGCAAGGAACCCTTAAATGATTTTTGAGGCTTTTAAGTAATGCATATTTAGTTATTATTTTAATTACGTGAGACATACCGCTATTATTTTCAGAAATTTAAAACGAAATACTTCCTGGCCTACTACACTAACTAACTAAATGGAAATTCTCCAGAAGAACATTTTAAGAAGTCTATTGATTATTATTCTTAAAGTAAGCACTTACTGCAATATAAGATGTCGTCAAAACGCCTCTTTTTTTTGTCATTTCTATAACAGAAGCAAATCTCAGTGTAACTGATGTTCATTTAAAACTTGCACTATTTAAGTCTACACGTTTGTTTTCCACATTTTTTTTATCGCCGTGAAGTGAAAATGCATTTGCATACCTTTTTGTTTTATAAACTCCCCCGTCGGTTATCAGGCCGTATTTCAGCCTAATCTGCGGTGATTAATTAGCCCGTCACCAGAGGGCGCGCGCAACTCGACTATTTCATAATATTGTCTTACACTCTTTTGTGTTCGGTGGACGGACTTGGCAAAACTTGGTAATAAAACTATTTTTTACGTGGTAGATATACTGAATTTATTTATTTATTGACGTTTCGCAGCTTTTGCTGGAATGCGTCATCCGAATTCCTGAAAAGGATGCGAAACGTCAATAAATAAATAAAGTTAGTACATCTAACCCCTAAAACCTAAGAAACAAAACTTGGTAATGTTTGATTGATTTTAAAGTTTTTCTTTGTATAAATAGGAGTGTATTATGACATTATAGCTATTAACGGGATTGTTACCTTGTACCTTGTTTTTTATGAGTCTCCGATATTTCGGCACTGTTGCAAGCGCTATGATCACGGAGTAACTGAAGTAATTGCGGGTAGATGTTATTGGCCGACATAGGACATTGGTATTGGTAGACATAGCAGTGGTAGGGATATCGAACGCAATAAAACACAACGTAAGAGGGTAGACCGATATGTCTGCCAGTAACATCTACCCGCAATTACTTCAGTTACTCCGTGATCATTGCGCTTGCAACAGTACCGAAATATCGGAGACTCATAAAAAACCAGGTACATGGTAACAATCCCGTTAATAGCTTTAATGTTAGTGACCATGAAAGTTTAAAACAATATATCTAATGACAATCTTCTATGGTAGCATTAGAAGGTATAAAAAATCCTTAAAATCATTAGAGTAATTGTATTAGCAGGTATAAACAATAAGTTTACTATGAATTTTGTTTTGAATTTCAATTACTGTACAAAAACTATTGACCATGAAGGGTTATTAATCATTTTTTATAGAGTTCAATCAATTTACATTCCAGTTAGTTGAAAATAACAAAAAGGTATTTTTTACTAAATACTTAATAATATTGTGAAAATGCAAAAATACAAAAACCCTAAATCCATTGCTCGCGAAAAATTAGCAAAAGTAATTTATTAACCGCCCGCAAAGATTTGGCAAAGTCTCTTATTTCAGTGAGCTTGAGTATTTTTTAATTCTGCGGCATTAGCATTGTCTTCCGGGTTGATTTATGTGGCCGCCAGAATGCGCTGCACGTGGACGTAGATAATGGTCTCTTAACACCTTAATTAAACCTACCCTTAATTGATGAGAAAAGGCGTTTAATATAAGAAGAAAATAGAGAAAACATTTTGGTTGCGAAAATGTAGCAAGTGAATTGTAAATCCTAGCCTCGAATTCAAATATTTTAGTTAGTGCTAAAACATTTTCGAAATAAAATTCTTATATCAAATATTTTTCGTTACATAATAGTACCTACATAAGTTTTCTGCTAATGATAAACGACACCGAGAAAATAACGATAGCATTTTCGACAACTATAAATTCAAGTTTTCTTTCAGGGCAATGTTTCATAAGTTAAAAAATAGTAAGCGTACTTACCTACCTTTTTTCTCATGTCTATTTATCTAACACACGTATTTCAACTACATATTTATGATCAGAGAAATGTATAAGATTTAATATTTGGGCTTGTATAATATGGACTCGTTTATTTTTATACCTATCGGTAGATATGTCTGTTTCCATGAATTTTAAAACTCTCATTCCAACGAGGTTTTCATGGAAAAAAGCTTAAATTTATAAAGAGAAACAAATTCATAATAAATTATTATGCTCGTGTTCTGTATATGTTAAAAAATTGTATGCCTAAAAAGACACGTTCATTTAAAATAAAAAGAATTTCCCGCGTTGTGAAATCGTGTATGAATCACACTACCTTGTTAGATTTCATCTAGTTGCGGTGTTATCCTAACAAATTTAGTGGTTACCGATAACTTCCACTTGTAAATCGGCGGTGAGTTAACGCGACCGATACGGGGTCGGTCAAAACCCAACTCGTTCACGCTTATCTCCGCCTTAGAATACTCCTTTTGGTATCAAGCTTTTGTATTAGAAGCATTGTAACAATTTCTAATGACATTAATGTGCTCACGGAATAGACCAAAAAGTTTGATTTCGCCTAATTTTGAGAGTTACTTTACGTTAAGTAGACATATTATTTTTTTAGTCATGAAATAACGCAATAATTATACAAAACAATAAATAACATTGTTTTCTTGATTTTCGTCTCCATCTCGTGCATGAACAGCCATTTTAATATTGTAGTAGGTACGACCATTTGTGAATCCAAAAATTTTATCGGATTATTATTTCGATTTGATCATAGTATAAAAAGCTGCAAACATGTTTGGCACAATGAACCTCTTTCACATATAATTACAAAACAGAAAAATGTGACGAAACAAATATGATTCACGTAACAATTTGATTGGCAATACCTAGAAAGTAGCAGTTTTAATATCCGTTCAATGTTTGATTGACCAGGCAGTCAGTATTGACTTTCGCTCGGCAATCGCTATTGATGGAAATGCTAACACAGCAATATTTAATTAGCGAACGAAACTTGCAACCGCTTCATCTGTAATCACGGTATTATTGGCCTGACAATTTAATAACAGCTTGAACATTAGATTTTCAGTATTTTTAGCTCTAAGTTTTCTATCCAGAGCAATATTTTAGTTTTGTTCTTTTTCCGGTTTTCGATAACTTGAAATTAAAATTAAGTTTTCTGTATTTGTAAGGAGCAAAAGACAAAATATAAGGAAATTGGCAAAATTGATTTAATGTTATTTACCCGTGTAGGAGTCACTTTTTTTTTCTAGTTCCTAAAAAGCTTACGATAAGGAAAATTCTGTCTAATAGAACTTTAAACAAACATTTTCGCAACAACATAATTTCCATTGTCACAAGCAAGTTAATAATCTACACCAGCGGTATACTCGTTTCGAGTTACAAGTTACCTAGATGTCATATAATGAGCTAATTACGTCATTAGTTCTCTTCGTCATCAATGGTAGTAGCGTTTATTCCCGCCGATTTAATTGCAAGCTTTAAAAGGCTTCCATCGCATACACTGGGCATACAAGCGGGCGCTTCAGTTTTGCTAAAACTGCACCCTAATTACGTGCATGACTAGGTTCACTATCATTCAGGACGTCGATTGTGGATAAAAAAATTGTGATGGCCCAATCAACCACGATTCATCCGAAAAATATTAATGGAACTCGCTTCTATATAATGATGGACTAATATTTTAAGATGAAGATTGATCACAAAAAAAAATATAAGTAAATGATAAAAAACAATAAACTGCATTACCTCAAGGTGAAGAGTTATAGGTAAATAATAGGCTAGTTGACTCGTGTCGAATGGTATTAAATAAATGTTTATTTATTAAAGTATTTGTTCTAAATAACTTAAATATATAGATTTCACTTCATAAAAGCAGAAGATTGCTGTAGAAATTTGATTTAACAAAAAATATTTTTTAGTCTATACTTTTTAAACACTAAAAACGCTGTTCGCCACATCCGCCATGATTGTGACGTCTCTTTGGTAGTAAACAACTAAATGTCATTCATACATAACCTTACAACTTGTATTATTAAAACTGATAATAAATGAAGAGACTTAAAAAAATATTCAATGAGTACTTACATCAAAGTGATTTTCGCAAAAATAAATTTTACTACGAGTCGATAAAGTTGCAGAATCCCTTTAAGCAAGTTCTAATCAGGTATTGCGTAGGTTAATTTCTTTCGGCACTTTAATCCACAACTTTCCTGGAGTCTTCAAGGATGTGTTTTTACTTTCTCCTAAAATACAATAATGATAATTACTATATTTTTCGTGGTATTTATTAGAAATCATGTTTTTTTTTATTATAAACTCAGATAGGTTATTTTCTACGTGCTTACGAGTTTTTATTTACTACCGGTTGACGTCATAGCATAGATAATCTATAGACTAAAATGGCCGACAGCGTTTTTGAATGTCCATGAAAAGTCTATTTTAAAATTAAAGATTTGTAGCTTTCTAGGTCTCAAAAAAATACAATACATTTTTTTCGGTTTTTTTTAACTATTTAAAACTTTTTTCTAAAAAGGGTCAACTAGCCTATTTAGCTATGATAGTAAGAAACCTTTAAAGTTTCAGAACCAGCAATGCACGAACTATTATTTTACTACAATTCCTAAAACAGAGCAACACGGCCGACGCGACGGGGCCAGGAGGGGAGTAGCCATAGTGACATAATATTACTAAAATCATTCTGCCCCTTTTTGCAGGGAGAGGAATATCCACACAAATACAGTCCAACATACATACGCAAAAAACAAAATTGTAATTACGATACTCACACATTAAGAAAGACACAATACACAGCCAAATCCTGCACAAATATTTAAACTTTTGTGTACAAATAAGTCACGACTCACATTTTGACACGTTCCTTAAGACAAAAGGGCTTGACTCCAGTAGGCTAGTTGACACTTTTTGGAAATATGTTTTAAATGGTTATTAATTGTTCTATTAGACCGAAAAAAATGTATTGTATTTTTTTTCGACCTAGAAAGCTACAAAACTTTAATCTTAAAATAGATTTTTCACGTACATACAAAAACGCTGTCGGCCATTTTAGTCTATAGATTATTTATGCTATGTCGTCAACAAAATTGTAAACAAACATTCGGAAGCACGTTGGAAATAACCTGAATCTGAATTTATATTATAAAACCATGATTTCATGATAAATATAGTGAATATCATGATTGTATTATACGAGAATGTAGAAACACATCGTTAAAGACCCCAGAAAAGTTGTGGTTTAAATTGTCTAGAGAAATTCACATACCACACATGAACACATGTTTAAAAGTTGCTAAATCCTGTAATTTAATCGATTGAAAGTCATTTCTTTTAGCAAAGAACTCATTGAATAATATTTAAAGTTTAATAATATTAAACAATATTAAAGTTATGAATGTACCTACTAAGTCAAAGAGTTTTGTCGTTTCTGCTTTCACAAATCCGGCGTCCAGCATTAATTAAGTCAACAAAACCAACAAACGGAAACTTTTATACAAGATATAAGAGTTTTTAGATATATTTTAGTCCAAGAAAAGGCACCACAGTCACACGACAATGACGTTGAGTTGTTTACGAATTTTGTGTCGTCACAATCATGGTGGACAGCGTTTTTAGTGTATAAAAAGCATAGACTAAAAAAAGATTTTTCAAATTAAATTACTACAGTCATCTTGACTGTTGAAATTAAACACAATCCTTTTGTTAGTTTGATGTTCCAAATATGTTTTACAGCAAATTACAGAACATTATGGAATTTTTGAACTCTAACATACACTCGAGCGACTTGACTCAGTCTAGTGAAATATCCGAGCGCAACTAGTTTTGTTACGTGAGCTGGCCCAACAGAGGAGGAAAATCAACAGAGGGAAAAGCTGTGAATGCCTACTCCCCTGCTGGCTGCGTCGGCTGTGTTGCTCTATGAAATACAGTTATCAGCGCGGCCGCTCAACAAAATATTCCTTGTAATTCTTTTTCATCACAAATTAATGTTCCACAGAAAGCAAAGTATCATGGTAACCCTTGTAACGTTGCATTCAAAGTTTGCTGCCAATTTGCCGCCTCCTGCGGACATAAGGGCTCTCGCTAAAATCCTAATTAAGGTAAATAATGTTGATAATTAAAATAACACTCGTGACTGTTGGTTAGTCAAAGCGAGTTTTCGGCTCTTTGATGCATGTAATACGACCACTTCACTTTGTGAGATATTTTTTCTTCATTTATGAGCTTACGTGTCTTCCTGATTAGGGTTGTCGGTTAAAAAGCTTTAGTTAAAGCAAGAGCACTTGTACGTTTTCTATCTTTTTTTCGCTTTTGGTATTATCATTGCGTTTTTAATATTAGCAAAAGAATACACATACAATATAATTGGTAATATTGTTTTGTTGTCAAATACAATAAATTGAGTTTTTCAAAAGATTAATCAGATGCAAAGGTTGCATGAGCATGTTGAAACTTATAGATACTGAGAGGAATCGAGGGCCAAGATAAGACGGAAAAATCTTAGCTGACATGATGAAAACCAAAGGAAATCATCAGACGGACTGACTTTATTTATAAGAAGCTACTGTACAGACAGAACAGGACGTATTCTTTGAGGGTAGCCACAAGAATGCTTTGTGATCACATTAATTATAAAGTAAAATTTTACCAGTGTTTCAGTTCTATCTTACAAACCTCTGCTGATTGTTTTTCAAATGAGCAATTAAAACAATAGCCAGATAATTTATCGCGTCCACAATTTATTCCTTTATCTTGGTTTCGGACCGCTAATATATCTTTATTCCGCAAAAGAGGCCCCAGAAAATTAGTGAATTTGCTTTTCCATCTCTCTCCGCTGCGCAGTTGATAAAGGGTTACCACTTTTTGCTCTAATTTATGAGAAAAGCGGGTCAAAATCTCGCTCTTGCGGAATTTCTATGTTTCGATTACGATGTTTCCTTAAGCCATAAATTCACCATTAAGTATTCATTGAATTCAAGAACGGTAATGTTTTCCGAATAAAAAGATATTCTTGTAATATCATTACATAGCTTTCTAGAAATAAGTAGATTACATTTTACTTTTGAATGTAGATGTTTGCCATCAAATTAAATGAATTTATAGGGCAAAAGTCAATCATTAATTGCCCTCTGTGAGATATTCTATAATAAATATTCTATTCGTTATGGCGTAGAGTCTGTGCGGAAAGAGAATGGGCGTGGCGAAAAACGGAACTAACATTAAGATTTTTATTTGGCAATCAAACCCAGCAATCTGTAAAACGTCAAAGTTTTGTATTGATACGGATTTGTTTGTTGTTGTGATTTCTTGCGGTTTTTTGTATTTAATCATGTCTAAAAGGGGTAAAACCTTACAAATACTGTAGAAAAGCACTACAGCGCCCTCCAATCTAAATCCCATTCTCTTATCGCACAGACTCTACATAGATTTCCCAAACAATGGTTATAAAATAGCAGCCTACACCCAGCATACTCACCAAACTGTCTCTGACTTTTTAAGTATAGAAGCACTTGTTTTTTTCTTCTAGGCACTATTTGTCACTATTTGAGAACTATGGTGGTATGCAAGGCGAAGGTACACGTTTACAGAGTAGAGGTGCTGATTAGAAATTGAACTCTTTTATTATTCCAAAATTCACTATCAGGTTATTAATCAAAACCAAGGTTGAAGACATGTGGTAGATCCACTTGTTGACTCCTTCTTGGAATTTTTGTAGTGTTTAGCAAGGTAGAAGGCGGAGAACATGGCAACCAGCTGAAATATATAATAAAATCTCATTTATTTCAATGTTAAATGATAATATTCTCTCATTCCTAGATATGGTTAATTTCAAATATTTAAAATAGGGATAATGACGGGGTAAAAGTAAAAGTAAACTTAATTCTATTTAGTCCGTCAATTACATTTTCAAAAAATAATGGAAACCTTTTTTTTAAGAAGAACAAAATAAAGAAAAGTAAGAGCGCGTGAAAGTTTGAGAGTGACATCACGTCTAAGTAAAATTTTTACCAGGACGCGTCGTCATGCATTGACACTTCAACTCAATGTATATCTAATTTTTTGATTATGTGTAAAAAGAAAAAAAATACTTGTACATTTTGATTACCAACCTACCAGATGGACGAAGAAAAAAAAAGTTTCTTCTCATCCCTATTCTCTTTTGTACCAGTCAGTTGTGCAATCTTACAAGAACAATCATAATGTAGGGAATTCAACTTCTATGAAAATTAAAATTAGTAATTTTTGGTAATTAAATAATTTAAATATATTTTTCTTCGAACAGCTCAGAAATGGAACGGACTAATGAAGTTTTTATTATTGCTTGAGTTCTTGTGTGATTACAAAGTGAAGCTTAGTAAACATGTATAATAAAAAAAAAACATTGGCCTACCTCCAACATCATTACGGAAAATGCCATGCATATGGTGACCAGGTAATATATGAACATCGTGTCCAGAGCCGCTGTTTTACATCCTTCGAAAGCTTCGGCACTGGTGCACTGAGTACCGTTGTAGTTGGCGATCATTTTACTAACGATGTGAATATCGTCCATATTCCTGATAGGAGGAAACTCGATGAGTGGGCAGCAGTTGGGCGGGATCGGGAGTTGGGCCGCTTTGTAGGATGCGGCACCGTTGGGGCCGCAACATTGAAACTGAAAAAGCATTTGGACTTTACGCAATCGTGTTTAAGAAGGATGCTGATTGAAGTCCAGCCTTAGAGCGTGCGTTGCGTTAAGCGAGAGCACGGAGCGGACGTTCGCGCCGCTTGCAGTTTTAAATTGTCATTTCATAGAACAGCGTGGTGCGGGAGATCCGCCTCACGTAGCGCTACTCTATGAAATAACACAAACACACCGAGCTCAGTGCTCCCGCTTAACGCAGCGCAGGCTCTTATACTTTGGCAGTAATGATTTTTCTAGAAAGTTTTCTGTATGTTAAGTTTTTTTTAATCTTTCCTTTCCATTGTGGTGGTTGGATCGTTGTTGTTTTAAATGTGAAAGTTCATATGTTTGTTACTCAATCACGTAAAAACGGCTGAACCGATTTAGATGAAATTTAGCACACACATAGTTTATTACCTAGATTGAGACACAGGATAATTTTTAAAATAAGACTCAACAAATATTCGGTTCCTGAGGGATTCTCAAGAAACTAAAGTTAACGCAGACGAAGTCGCGCGTGGACGATAGTATTACATAATTATTACATTGCTACAATCTGAGAGTTCGATACACCGAATCAATATCCTTTTACATAAAATATTATTGTAATCACTTTGATAAGAATCGAGTTCTTGTTGTCTTGTTGTTTGCGACAATTATACCTAATATAAATATGTTTACTTACGAAAACTTCCACAATAAAGAAACCTTTCCTTTGGTACGGATCTTCGAATGCATCGTAAAGTCTATTCTCAAGCACGCTCTCCGTATCAAACATGTCTCTATATATTCCGACGACTATATATATTTTGACAGCAGTTATTAATAGTAACATAACCCCGTACTAAAAGGAAATGGATGTTTAAAGTATGCAGTAATCTTTAGGACTTAGTATTTGGCTAGGTCGTAAAATGACAGATTAAAAAGTTTCATAGGTTCAATCGAAAACATTTTTCTTTATAAACATTACAATACGATTACAGCCAAGTGAGGGACAGTGTTACAAGGGGCACAGTGTAATATAAGTAGTATCTCTGTATTATGCCCGGCCATTCGACGTCCGAGGAGTTCGATGGCGCGGGTGGTTAGCGCATTCGGCTGCAATCGTTGAAGTTAAGCAACTTTCGCAGTGGTCGGTCATTGGATGGGCAATCAAAAACCTTCTATCTCGAGTTCCTCCGTGCTTCGGAAGGCACGTTAAGCCATTGGTCCCAGCTGCATCTGCAGTCGTTAGTACCCGCCAATATGCACTGGGCCCGCGTTGTGAGTCATGGCCCAATCTCCCTATTCCATCCATAGGGAAGGCCTGTGCCCCAGCAGTGGGGACATTAATAGGCTGATGATGATGATGATTCAATGCCTGATGACAGCTGGTTAAGAGTGGCATAATGAAACTAACAGATCATAAAGAAAAAAACAAAGGGCAGAGATGCGTTAAGTTACACTTTGCCCCTTAACAAGGGTTATCCCACACTTGAGTCTACGTTTCATTTTATCTCATACTTAAACATCTTATTGGGAAACAAACTTATTATATGATTAAGAAAAATATTAATTAATGTGACAGCCTAGGTCTTGTCGTGTCCTGTGGCAAAAAATAATAAACATACACACCGTTCTGAGAAGAAATGGTTGCTCTCCTGTTGACCCGGAAAATCCAAGGAATGCTATTGAAAATATAATACATCCTATGGCAGTTATTAATATCCAGTCATGTAATATATCGTCAATATCCAAAAAATCCCCTATGCTCTTTGAGAGACTTATAAAAATAGTTCCTAAAATTATAATAATAACACCTGCAACCTGTAAAATTAAAATAAGAAGATAAATATTATCATTATAAATACATCCGTATTTCATTTTAAGAAGCTTGTAGGTACTTACAATGATACAAAAATTTATCAAAAAGAAAATGTATTTAACCACAACCTCCGTACAGCCCATTTTAATCTTAAATCGTGTTGTTAGAGTAATGATTCGATGTTGTTTGTCTCGTATTGATACAGTCAGGAGTTCTAATCTATAAAGATTAACGCGCACAGGTAGGTTTTTGTCGATTGTAATATATAGGATGTGACTACTATGCAATCTAGAATAAAGTTGTTTTGTGAAATAAGTAAAGCAGAGTTAAATCATTGCTTACAGTAGAAGATGCTATTAATTAAAATAAATAAAACGGAGACTGTCCTGCTAAATAACGAACTCGGAAGGAAAAAACAAATAACCTTAAGCAGTCGTGCGTCGTGTCGGGTGCTTTCATACGAAAGGGAAATCCGATCGAAAGTAAAAAACTTATTATAATATATGAATGGATTCTCTTTTTTAAAAGAGACAAGGTTAAGCAGTTTTAATAATAAAAAATACGCTTCCTAGTGACAATATAAATATTAACGGTTTTATTTACAAAATTGTAAACTGGGCCATCTTTTTTGGTCTTGGTATTAAAAAAAACAGGAATGTGTTCAAAAAATATAACCAACAACTTCCCATTAGTGTATAATAAATGGACCTATATGAGTGAACTAAGTGAAAGTGTTGAGGTTAAATTCGTTATATTTTGATTTTTATCATAGGTTCCTACGCTAAAAGTATCAGGTAGTTTTTAATATCACCACATAATATGTTGCCCACATTTTAATTAAATCTGACTAGCATTATCATTATGTATCTAGCTATAATTTAAGTACTTATAAAATCAACCAAACTATATCATCCTGTAGACTTCTATCATGTTGATGATAAACTAAGTGGATTTAGTACAAGCGTAATGTATTTTTAGATTACCATGATCATCCAAACACTAGCATATCACATTTGAGCTTTTTATGACAATAATTGGTAAAGTGACAGGTCTATTGTTGCTCTAAAATTATGTCAACAGAATGGAAAAATATATTTGGTTTTAGTTAAATAGGTGACACATTCGAATTTAGTTGCTGTGGTGACTGCTTAATATTTTGCTGCCAAAATAAATATAATTATTTCAATCCAAATTATTCGAAAAATATAACCTGTTATTTCAGAAATTAGGCGGTCTCGTAAATTTTAACCGAACCTCTTGTTTCTACAAGAACAAACGTACTAGTTCAAATATAGTAAGGAAGGTATACGAAGGAAGCGCTCGACTTTAACTCACCCACACCGCGGAACGTTGAACTAACGAGACATGACGTCACATAACGTGACTGACGTCACACTTTTTCGTGCGTGCAGCCGGTGTTCATCGATTTATAAGACGTTATAACGTCAAAACTAATTTGAATTTGGAGGAAGCCGCGGACAGCCGTTAATATATAGTAATCGCTTTTCTTATTTCATTTTTCAAGGTGATAGAACAATATCCAAAATTGGATTTAATTTTTAGAACAGACAATTAAATTTATACGTCCACATTAAATAGTACGCTTTTAACAACGATCTTTTTGAAGGATAATAAATATAATGATTGTACAAGCTAAGTCCTACATTGATTTCATGTAATTGAATAATTTCAGAAAATGCGTCATTTTGTATGTCTACGAACATTTTGTATGTATGCAAAATAGGCATATTTGCATTTCGAAGTATTGGAAGCAAAGACATTCTGCCTTGGTAAAATTTGGTTTTAAAACGTGCATTATTAGCAATAGTTTGTGACCTATTTCATCATCATTATCAGCCTATTAATGTCCTCTCTGCTGGGGCACAGACCTTCCCTATAGATGGAATAGGGGGATTGGCCCATGACCCACCACGTGGGCCCAGTGCGGAATGGTGGGTGCTAACGACCACAGATGCAGCTGGGACCAACGGCTTAACGTGCCTTCCTAAGCACGGAGGAGCTTGAGATAGTTAATTTTTGTTCACGCATCCAATGACCGACCACTGCGATAGTTGCTTAATTTCAACCATAGATAAATGATTGGTCGCTTCACGAGACCAATCATTCATCTATGATTTCAACTATAGCAGCCGAACGCTCTAACCACTTTCACCATCGAGCTCCTGACCTATTTAAGCGAACTTATTTATTGGATGTCAAGTGCCATTGCTCTATAGCTTGTAATCGGATCTCATGTCAGCCAATTTGTGATCAAAGCAGTTAAGTTTAAAATGTGTTGGTATTATCTAGAACGGAATGCATAAATAAATGGATTATAATATAAATAAAGATAAAATTCATTTGACATTATGGGTTACCTACAATGCGTAGAGATGGCGCAGCCTAAGAAAGTCTATAAAATGCGACACGGCCATCAGATCATCATCATAAGTAGTAGTATATTACTATGCCTGTATATTTGTGAAAACAGTTATGTGTATCCTTGTAAAATATTTAACTTTTCGTGTCTTTAATATCGCTTTTGTGGAATCAAATAGAAAAATTCTGAAATCGCGACAGCAGTAGGTAATACGCTATTAGGAGCTCTTTAAACTGTTACTATTTCATTCATGTGAGCAATAAAGTGTTTATTATTATTATTATTATTATTATTATTTTTCCTTTCGAGAGGGTAGGCAACGTACTTAGGAGATCAAGCAGTAAGGGAGAAAAATTAGGGAAATGGTAAGTTATCATCCATGAAAGAATATGTTAACTTTTTAGATCGGATATCGTCTAGATATGATAGCCATTTAAAAAAAAAATACAATATTTTTACTTTTAAAACACTTTTTTATTTATAAATGTAATAAAGTTGTGCATTTATAGCTTGCTAGCTGTGTCCCGCGGTGTTGACCGCAGTTTATTAGGGATATTTTCCCGCAGTAAAACGTAGCCTATGTGTTAATTCAGAGTGTCAGCTAACTCCATACCAAATTTTATCAAAATCGCTCCAGCAGTTTAGACGTAATGAAGTAACAAACATACACACTCACAAACTTTTGCCACTCTTACTAAAATAGTGTGTATCTTAATAAGCTATAAATTATATTATTTTAGCTTAACAAATGTCACACATTATCCAATTTCAATCTGTAATAATATGTTTTTTAGGCATGTGTCTTTATTTTAACATAAAATCTGTTAAATTGACAAAACTCACATTTAGCAAACACAGTATTTTATATCGACAATACTCGGAAACCACTGCGCCAGACTTTCATAAATTATAAAATCATGCAGATTTTTATTTAGTAAAAATTTCATATGAAAATGTTGACAGTTTTTTATACTCTGAAGAGCTGCGGTGTGTAGATTAAGCTGTTCATGACCCATGAACCCACTCAATCCATGAATCAACTTTGATGTTGATGTTCGTTAACTTTTTGCTTGTAAGGTATACGATTTGGAAGAATTCTTCGCATCAATTTCATTTCTAATATGCTGAGCAAGATAGAAAGCAAAAATAGCCGCAATTACCTGTAACAAAAAAAATATTATTTATACTCGGTCCAGTTTTGAAATATAACCATTTCATATTATTGTTTGCCAATACTGTCCGGTACCTCTACTACTAACACCAATATAGTAATGTTGTTGGCTAAATTATATAAAGACATTAATAAATCAGTGATAACTGAAGCGCAGCCGTCATATGATGTTTCTTTAACGCAGTAATACTCAGTTTTGTTGTAACTGGAAAGAATATTATTGATTTCTATAATTGAATAGATGTCTTTGAACGGGGGAAATATTAATCCCGGACAACAAGTCGCTGGTAATTCGAGCCCATATACTTCGTATGAAACAGGCCCAAGGATGCCACAACATGGGATCTGGAAAAAACACAAAAAATGACATAAATTACAAATTTATCATAATGGTTTTCGTTGAGTTGCTTTGATATGAGCATTATGTTATGACTACGAGAAATAGGTTATGGCAGATTTTTTAATCGGAGTGCCCATCTGGGGAAATGATCTCAACCTAATAGACGACCACAGTCAATTATACTGAGCATGGTGGTAATCTGAGTTGGGTTCTTCTCTTATCATCCGAACCCTATCTTAAATACCCGAAACGTACCTAAAGAAATGTAATGTTAGCACTTCTTATGGTAATTCATATTTGCCTAATCTAAATTCTACAGCATGTCGACTTCTTAAAAGAGCAAGATGAGAATAATAAATACCCTCTGCTGTCAAATTTACCTATGGCGAATACAAATAGCCAATGAAGTGCTATTAAAGATAAAAAGGACATTCGTGTACGGTCTACCAGCTTGGTGAATGTTAGCAGACTAAATTTGTATTTTAACATACGATGCCCTTCGGACATATTAAAGTACTTCATATTCCAGAAAGTTAAGTTAAAATGATCTTTGTTTAAAAGAACCTACCGTGGCTTCAATTACGCGAAGAACTGTTCTAGTCAGGGGAAGTTCCTCAACACGTTGCATAGATGCAAAGATTTGTTGAAGATCTCTTAGTAATGCATAAAAGAATATCATAATGTACATCATTACGCCAGATAACAATAACATCACAATGGCATACTGTAATAAAAAGCACGATATTATTACAAAGTATGTCAGGTAACTTACAATGTTTATAAATCAATAATTTGAAAATATACCAAGTTATAGGTATAAAAGCCCACTTGCAGCAAATTTGCTAAATCTCGATTCAACTTCAACAAAAATTGATGGCAATCATTGCTATGCAGACGACAGCACAGGTGATGCCTTATATACCGGCAGCGCAAATAATTTATGGGGAAACGAAATGGAGAGCCGGAACAAACTTGTGTTGGAAGTTGAGACTTTGCTCAGCAAAATATCAAAATGGGAACGACTCATCTAGTCCAACTTAATTCCACGAAAAAATTACCATTTGTCCCCCCTTTTTAAGAACACTCCCCTTACTGCCTCAGCTGTCGGTATTCTTGGCGTTGACATATCGAGCAACATCCAGATCCGAGTTAATCTGGTTGGCAATGCCAAATGAACCTTCAGGAAACTTGGTGTGCTCAATAGATCGAGGGGGTACTTCACAACAGCCCACAGACTGCAACTTTATAAAGCACAGGTTTGGCCTCACATGGAGTACTGTTCTCATCTTTGAGGCACCTCAGTATCAGCTTCTCCCTCTGGATCGCATCCATCGCCGAGCGGCTCGAATTGTCGACGACCAGGACCTTTCCGATGGGCTTGATTCTTTGGCTTTGCGTAGAGATGTAGCTTCGCCCGCAACTTCTATCGCATTTATCACGGTGAGTGTTCTGAGGAAATTTTCGAATTAATACCAGCTGCTGCTTTTCACTATCGTACATCGCGACAAAAATTTCATCCCCATCATCTTGTTGCGTAGCTATCCTAAACCTTGCGATTTGTCGAAATTTTTACCACGTTCGACAAAACTCATTGTACCCAACAGTGTTTACGGAACAATACGACTAGAAAACCCTACGAAAAAAGAGTATTCCTTCCTTAAAATTAAATAACGTTGCAGTTGTCTATGGGCGACGGTGATCACCTATCATCAGATGAGTCGTCAACTCGTATGCACCCATAATAAAAATAAAAATGAAAAACTAGATTAAACCCTTAAAAAAATTTCAAAACGACAATATAAATTTTACCTTATTGTATGGGTTAAAGATAGTTTTTCTTGAATCGAGATTTTGCAAATTTGCTGCAAGTAGGCCTTAAAATGTAATTGAAGTTGTTGGGCGAAACAAAGAAGAAGGAATACTTTAAAAGAAAGGAATAAAAAAAGGACAAGAAATTAAGAAATCTTATTCTTTAATTAAATCATTAATAAGGATAGCTTGTCTTATTTCGTTTATAGTAACAAAATATGATTTCGTACGCACCATATTAAGTAGATATGGTTTCTCCGCAATGGCTCCGCAACATCCCATAAACGAGACGATAAATATAATAGTGCCCACGGTGCCAAAAAGTATTGCCCTCTCCGGAAAATAATCAACATTATCAACCAGCTCAGCCAATGCTTTAGTGTATAAAATGGAAGCTATTGTTGTTAAAACTAAAGTCAGGCCGATAAACTAGAACATAAATGTTTGTCATTTGTATATTTGAAAAACGTCGAAACAAAACAAATATGCATATTATATTTTTTTGACGGGACATAGTTACTTATAATGAAGTACTTAGTAGGAAAATACATATTTAAATTCTAAATGTTAATTTGATGATCTTATATATGTATTATATTTATAAAAAAATCTGTTCGATTATAGCTATAAAGAATTTACTAGAAAATTGAAAATAAATATTTTGCAAGCGATAAGTAAAATCTAATCGTTCGTTATGATCTATTAAATTATAAACATTAATTTAATAATACATTACTTACAAAGATGACAAAATTCACAAGAAACAACGCATATTTCACTATGAAATCTGTACAACCCATTCTTTATAATTGAACTTAATGATAGCATCGATTCCCAGTTTCATGCTTACTCTATCCAACTATAAATAACTGTCTAATCTGTATTGATATAATGTTGTATTAAATGTTACAAAGGGTGACGTGTTAAAGTTAATCGTGCTCTTTATAATAGTACTAGCTTTTCCCGCGACTTCGTCCACGTGGACTTAGTAATTTAGGTAGCCAATTTTTATCAATTCTTCAATCTGCTATTTGAAAAATAAATAAACCTGTAAAATTCGGGGTTATTTTAAATAAAATAAAGCGGAACATTCTCTGTGCAATACAATGAGGGCAATTCAAGATCCATTATTACACTACATCTGTTAAATGGTCTATGTCACCTTCTACCTGTGTTTCGATTTGTCGTTTAAAATCTTCTGAAAGCTATTCTTTAAATGCATCCCACAAAGTTAATGGATCAGGCACTTGGCAAACCAACATGATAGTAAAAAGCTCGCGTATTATTTATGGTGAATGATACAATACTGCTTCACTCAATGCTGCATGTCAGTTGTCATCATTTTCATTTCAGCCTAAGAAGACTGTATGTAGGGTGTATTGTGTGCACTCTACACAGAGCATGTTCTTTTTTAATGCCAGGCCATCTATCTACGTTTACTCCACGTTTCCTCCTTTGGAATCGTGAATTAGTCCAAACATAACATGCTGGTACTTGGTAATATAAAAGGGTTTTTGCAAAATCATCAGTACGACACAACTCAAAGAACGCAGAAAGTGTTGTTCCTGGTGGGTTTTTAAGTTTGTCTGCTGTAATGTTCAATTCCCCTCCACAGCCCTCTTCTCGCTCACTCAGAGCACCGGGGGAACAATAAAAGAAAACCAAAAAATTAAGATAATGTTATAAGTATATTTTATCCACTTTAGATACCAAAGCATAGGAATTCAGTAGTTTTAAGTTATTGCTTATATAAATCAACAAGTCTAACTATGTTTATTATTTATATAATAACTATGTTTCACTAATTATAAATATCTAAGCTGAATACAGTAGTTCAAAGTTAATGTGTATATAAACCAACAAGTTGTCATGAAAGGTTATAATTATATGAATATCAGACATTCATAACACTTTACCATGTACTTACAATATAATACTTACTAATATATTTTATCCACAAATACCACATAGACTAGACTGAATAAGCTATTTAGTGGATTTCAGAGGTTCTACGGCTCGTTTGATCGATATTGGTGACAAACTTAGTTAATTCTAGTTCTCAGTGAGATAACCAGTTATATAGATATATGTAAATATATGGAAATGGGTAAGTCGGGGTCCAACCTCGCCTGGTGGTTCCTTTCCACGTTCACCCGGGGTTAGTAGAGAAATACCTTGATTATGATAGGTTTAGCTGTGTATAATCTGTCTGCTGTTACGGCCGGGTTACATAAAACCGGAGAGCGGCTGGCAAATAAACTCCCGCGTCCCTTCTGGTCCGTGTACAGAAAAAAGTCTCCTTGTTAGTCCTCCAGTATTTCTTGAGGGGAACGTACAAGCCTGAAGTTCACATTGAAAAAAATGATCAGATATGGGGAAAATACATAGATTACCACATCTGTAGTGGGTGAGAGAGTGAGGGATATTCACGGTCAATGTTTACACTTTAAAATTTGAATCACTACAGGACTGGGGCCCGTCCCACCCGGTTTGAAGAAAATCAATTCCACGTTCACTAACTTGACAAGAATGATTAGGTATATTTGCTGACAAGAATCACTATATTGTGCATAATGCAGTTCAATTAGTGCTAGGAGAATAAATATGAGGTCAGATGATAGCTTACCGTTCGAAATATGAAACTATCCGTAAGTATTTTGTTTCCTATCACAAGTTACCGCCTTATTATTGCAATCGCCTTGCGAAGGTTCGTGTTCGTCCACCTACGATACAGAATATCAACAGAAAGGTTATTTTTCACAGCCCAAACTTGCAAATTATGTAGGAAAAAGAGTTACTCCAATATACCTACGAAACTCAGTTCGGTTAGCGACTCCGCGCTTTTTCCGCCAATATCCTTCGGGATACAAACTTTTCGGATCTATCTCACGACTCCGACGACAATAATATGCCTTTTATTATACTTTGGGCAGAAGAAAAGATGAAAAGTTAACTGTACCACAAACAGATTGTGAAATTTTAAAAGTTGTTTTGACAATTGCTCATAGATGATAGACGGGTCGTCCACTCCCAAACATGTGTCTATGATTTGTTTCCCACTTCAACTGAAGGCAAAGGCCACAGTCAAACAGACAGCCGCCGCATTCGAGACGAACCGAAGAATAAACTCAAAACTATATACCTACGCTCGCCGTAAGCTGAGGAAAAGGGAATACCTACCCAAATCAGCGAGGAAATTCAATTTCGAGTAAAATTCAAAATCGATTAAAAACAGCACCCGATAAGGAGGACTCAAATCGATCTGGGAAAGACTATTCAAAATTCAACAACTGTCAAACTCCATCCATTCATCCACGCGCCCCCACAGAGATTCCCCGCCTGATTACTTTATAAGTCTCAAGGCGAATATTTTAGTCGAATAGGAAGATCGACTCTTCCCTCAAGGCTACCAACCCAATCAATGAAGTTTGACAGCTACGCTGACGTAAGCGGTTCGCTATCATAGACAAAACAGCTGTCCTACGTGTGTCAGTGTCACGCTCTGTTTAAAAACAAACACTACACTGCGAAGTTTTGCTGATTAGAATATACTCTATGGCCATTTTCCAGATGAACAGCGAGAAAAAACACGGTTGGGAAGCGTTCATGAATCTGAAATCCAAGAATTCGCCATACCGATTCCGAACTTCTTATGTTCCTCCCACTTTCGTAAATATTTACTTCATCTTTATCTTTCTCTTTAAGTAAAAGTGACCTAATCAGATTCCATATTTATGGATTTGCAAACGTATTTTATTCATTTAACAGAGTAACAGAATTCGACGTTTGTATGCACGTTAAATTTTAATTTGTTGTAAAGAAGTGGATTATATGGAACTTCCCAGCGGTTGTCAATCTCTACTCAATTATTGTCAAAAGTAAAGACACATATGTCTGAAGAACGTCTTCTATATTGCAGGTAGGCGTCGTCCCCGGTTTGTGTTTTACTAAGTAGAAGCCCTGGGATACCGCTTAATGCAATTTTTGTTTTTCATACAATAGTCGAGTCAATGAAGCTTTTTACCTGGAAACGCGGTGGAACAGCTTCGATTTTGATGATTTTTTTTTAATAATTTTGTTTTTTTTAATTATTTGAAATCAGAAACCTCTGGAGAGGGGGAAATCATTTTTTATATTGTTTAAACAATTTTTATGACATTTTTGGAAAAAAATGTTTTTTTATAAAATATCAATTGAAAACTCACAAAAAAATATGTTTATGTTATTGTTTTCATATTGTTATCACAAATAATTTTAATTTACATGTTATTATATCAAAAACTTTTAAAAACAATTAATTATAAGATCTTTCATGTAATATAATGACATGACGCTGATATACATAAACAAGTTAGATATATTTCATGAAATATAAGAAATTAATAGTTTCATTATAAAAAATATGAATAACAAAAATATATGATATATATATATATATATATATATAAATTGGGTCAGAGGCTGCGCTCTCAAGGACCCCGAGGTCGATTCACTCAAAGCAGCCTACAATTTTGCTTCCAAGGCCTGTAAGAAGGCTTACATCAGAGCGGATGCCCAGCGCGTTGCACGTATTGGCCAGGAACTTATAACGCATCCTACGCTCCCGTAGCTACTGGCGTTTGGCCAAGGCCGTGCAAAAAACCTTCTGCCAGCCCTCGCTGCCACCTCTGAGATGCCCAGACGGAACACTAGCTCATAAGCCGCAGGAGAAAGCCGATTTACAGGCAAAACTCTTTGCGGCTAACTCCCGAATCGATAATTGCAATGCACTACCACCATCATTACCTCACTGTGACACAACGATGCCTGATATTAAAATCAGGCAGTGTGAGGTTCGTGCCGAATTGCAATCACTCGACGTCCGGAAAGCTAGTGGACCTGATGGCATCCCAGCAGTAGTACTGAAAAAATGTGCAACGGAGTTGTTTCCCGTGCTCACGCGCTTGTACCAAATTTTCGTATTCTTTGGGGCGTGTGCCGGAGACTTGGAGATGCTTACGTGCAACCGGTGCCCAAAAAAGGGGATCGCTCAGACCCGGCAAACTACCGGCCAATAGCAGTCATCTCAGTTTTATGTAAAGTTCTAGAAAAGCTCCTTAATAACCATCTGACCCGTCATTTTATTTTATATTTACTTTATTTATTTATCATCTTCAGGGCACAACACTACCGCTACAGAGCAACATTTCCATGCTCGGTATGGAAGTTCGCTCAGACCTGAATCCAAAGGACTACATCGAAACCGTCATCAAAACAGCTTCACGCAAACTCGGAGTCCTGAACAAGGTGCGGCGTTCTTTCACGCCCGATCAACTGTGCTTGTTATACAAAACGCAAGTGCGGTCCTGCGTGGAATATTGCTTGTACCTCTGGGATAGCTCCGCCAAGTACTTGCTCGATGTTTTGGATAGGTTACAGCGGCGCGCGATCCGCATCATAGGCGATGAGGAGGTGACTAAACACCTTGAGCCGTGACGTGGCGTCACTAAGCGCGTTCTATCGTCTGTACCACAGCGAGTGTTCTGAGGAGTTATTCTCTCTTATCCCACCTTCCCCTTTCCTTCAGAGGACCACGCGCGCTGGCCTACGTTGTCACCGTGGCCACAATTCCAACGCGTACAAAGAAATTTGGTGACTCATTTCTTTTTCGCACTATCCGTAAATGGAATGCTCTGCCCGCTCACGTGTTCCCTCCCTCTTACAACCTGGGATCCTTTAAAAGAGGCGTGAAGAAGCAACATGCAGGCCGGCAGGGTGAGGATGGCTGGTGTGGCAGGTAGAACTGCTGTATCAGCTATCTTCGCGTCTGGACTTCACCTTCACTTAACATCAGGTGGGGTGGAGT